TTAGGCTTAATAGCAAAAAAGTCCCCGGCCCTGGACAGACGCTCACGTAAGACACTGCAGGCCTCTGCGATAAGCACGCATTTGCGCTACCCAGCGCGAAGGGGTTAAACACAATCTATTTGTAACTTTCATCTCGTAATGGTACATTTTCACTAGAGTCCTAGTAACACCATGCTTGTCCTCCTATTTTCAAATATCACATTTGGTTCCACTAAATTTCTTAAATTACCAATTCATTTATTCTTTTTAATTTCATACATCTTATGCAATAGTACAGTAACTGCATCATTCAATCAGGTTACTTCTGCATAAATACAAAGAAAACTGGGAGTTAAAACCTCGGACTTCTCAGATTTGCAAAAGAACAGATCATGCAGTGGTCTATCAAGCACATATCCATCTCTACTCTGTCCCATCTAGGCTCTCACACAGATTACATAAAGTTAATGTTTTTGTTTAAAACACTGATTTTTCCCAATGACAAAATGCATTATTCATTAGTGCTAAAATCAGTGTTGCCAATCATGAATGTGATTGTAAACAGTTTTACAAGCACTTTATATTTCAAATATCAGACAATACATAATGCAAATATGACTCTGCTTGTAAGAATAAACATACAAAACCATTATACTCTTATACTTAAGTTACACAGAAACATTCTAGTACTACCTCAAATAACAGCTGCAATTTTTATGCTTTCAGATCACATTTAGAGACATTTATGATTCAATCAGATTATGTAATTATCAACAAGAAACTGCAAATGTTGACTTCCTTTATTTGACATAAATAAATAAAACTGACAGGAAACAACACGTTGATTTTAACTAAAGGAACCATTAAAAAAAAATCTTGTGCATCAACACATCCACAATACACATACAAAGAGAAATCCTACCTTTTTCCCATCTTTGGTTTTTCTCAAAACGAAAGTACCATCAGGTAGACAATCAAAATACTTGCGTGACTTATTAGCCGAATCTAAAATGTATTTTGGAGGCATACCCAAAACTTCCACTATTTTATTCATTTGGTCAATCTATTGGAGAAGGGGAAAAAAGAAAGGAATTACACAATGGCTGTGATATGGGCATAAAAATCTTTTGAGAATGTGTGCATGTATGCACACTGTGCAAAAAAAAAGGGGGGCACAGTTCTACATCTCCCCTTCTACCCGGCCGATTGACAAAATTCAAATTGTGTTTTTCTTGTCTTGAAAGCATGACATAGGATATACATTGTATGTATGTATGTGTGTGTGTATATATATATATATATGGCACTGTTCTAACATAGGTATTTTGACACAAAATCGGACTTTTTCTGAAATAACATACCAATTTTTTTCCATATTTCGATTCTACGACTCAAATTATGCCCAGATATTATATTTTGTAAAATTTGGTGCGAAATTTATGGAGAAATTCGAAAATTTATCTTGGCGAAATTTCTTCAGTTTGGCCAAAAATAATTCACTTGGCATACTTCTTAATATATGCCAACCAATCTTTCCCTTCCATTATGCCGGAGTGGGGAAAAAAGGCACCCCGTTCCTACCTTTTTACACTGTGTATGAGTGGAAAAAAAGTCGCATCGTTTTTACTTTCAAATAATTTTAGTAAAGTGTTTAAACTATACCTGATGTTTTATCGCTTTCAAGAAATACGCCAAATTTTAAAGCACGCCAATATATAAATTCACGTATGCTTAGAAATAGAAAAGAACTTAGAGAAAGTAGAACAAAGAAAGAATAGATCTTAGAAATACGCTCTACTTTAAGATTGTGACGGTTTAAATGAAGGTTGGGTTTGGAGATCATGTAAGATGGATTGACGGGGTAAATTCAAAAAAAAAAAAAATTTTTAGATGATTTAATTCAATTTTTTGTTGAAAAAAAAAAAAATTTATATTAAAATTTATTTTTTTTTTTTTTTAAAAAGACAGATGGATTTAAAAAATCATAAAAAATGGGCGAAATTTTAATTTTTTATTTGGCGAATTTTATTGGAAAAATTTTGATTGAAGGGGGAAAAATTTTTTAGTGAATGAACCCGACATTTCGAATGTGAAGGATGAATGAAAGGAAGAATGAAAGGAAGAATAATAATTAAAAGAAATTTAAAATAAGTTTAATATTAAAAAAGGAGCTTTGAGCTTTGGCTTAAACTTTTTTGAATTCAAACAAAAAAATATATGCCCACAACCAGCTATAGAATAGAGATAGGATTTTTTTTGTGTTGTTTGCTGTGTTTTATACACCAAATTTTGGAGAGAGCATAATTTCTAAACTAAAAAATTGTGTTTGTGATTTATACAAAACTTAAAAGTTGGCCGTTTTGTTATAATTTGAGTCGCTTAGTATAGAATCTAAAAATAATATGTATGGAAAAAAAAACAGAAAAAAGAAGAATTTAAGATATAAACAAAAAACAAAAAAACAGTCTCAACTTCACAATAAATTTAAGATCATAGAAAAATGCTAGAGCTTTATGGATATATATATCATAATATAAATAAATAAAGATTAATAAAGCAAAACTTCGAGAGAATTTCCGAGAACCAAAAAATTGCAAAGTGGAAGTTGTTATTGCAATTCAAAAACAAGTGATTTTGAAAATTAGTTAAAAAGTTGAAGTTTTTGGAAATTTCGCGGGTCAATCGGCCCAAGGAAGAACACCAGAACGAAAAAGAAGATAGAAAGACCAGGAAGTAGAAGAGTAAGAGTAAGAATTCTCAAAGAAATAAGTACACCAAGTTAGTTTTAGTAGAGTTCAGAGAAAAGAAAAGAAGAAAAAAAAGATGGAGATATAGATTTCTCCATCCCTTTTTTTTGCACAGTGTACATATATACCAACATGCATGTGTGTAAGATAATATGTAAAATAAAACTCTCTTTAGTCTCCTACTGGCTTTTTGCCTTTATTACCCTAAAAATACCAGCATGCTTATATTAATCTCTTTCTAGTACATCATTAAACAATTTATTTTTGTTATTTGACTCTTACATAATGCTTAAACTGCATGCACATACATAATACAAACAGTATTTCATTAAGTAGTAATTTTAAAAATTTCAAAACTTAACAATGCATAGGAATAAAGTAAGAACATGAGTAGGGTTATTATAAACCCTAACTCCAAATTGTAACTGTGCAGAATTTTCTCAGAGTCTCTGACAAGCTAATATCTTACTTACATCAAATATACTTTTTATAAAGATGTAAAGAAGCAAAAGATAACAGTTAAAGAATGGACACACATCAGTGGATCACACTGGCTCAGCAATAGAGGTCTAGTTCAAGAAAGTTTTGTCAAGAATAAAATGCACTGAATTGATAATGATTGCCAATACGTCATTATGTAAAAGCTCTGTCTTTATGTTACTCATCACCCACACCTAATTTTTTATTTTACACACACAGTACAATTAGCATATGCATTGCAAATGTTTATGAACGTACACAGTTGTTATGTACATCCACACAGACAGGCTTCCAGCTTCCTGTTGAAAGTTATGTTTGCACTATAAATTCTGTAGCTTGTAGAGCAGTGAGATTCCTTCCCCTTTCTTGTGATGTGTATATTCACTTAAGCTATCAGCACCTTTCATTTCCTTTGAGAACAGTGTATTTATAAACTAGTTTATTGTTTGATGCAAGACGCCTATTCTTCAATTGTATTGGTTTTGAAAACATCTTTGTTTTTTATATTAATCACTTCTAACTTATTATTAATTTAATTCTAGCTTTTAATTTTAAATTATGAAGGTGTTAATTCTTTTTGCCAGGCTACTAAGATGTCATTGTAAAACTCTTAATTAATACACCTAATTTTATAATTCGCTAAATTCGCTTAAGTTGAAATACTGCAATATATTTACAAATTAAATGTACAATATCCATAGAAATACTGCATTCAGAAAAGAGGGACTAAAATTAGTATAACAGATAATTTAAAAAATAGACTAAAATACTAATCACTTGGACATAAATACAGTACTAGTGAATCAGAAAGCAATCAGAGCAATCAGAAACCCAAATAATTAATTTGATGTAATTTGAACAAAAGAATAGGGAAAAGGGTCAGGTTCTGTTATAATTATTAATGCATGACACAGCAGAGAAATATGCACATAATATGGTACTGACTGACTAAAGTTCAAAGCAGGACTATCATATATATATATATATTTTTTTAAATTTGGTGGAGGGGATGGCAATATCTGTTAAATACAATTAAACAAAATATCTGATGGCTATAGGCTTTTTCTGAAAATTCTCCAAACAGTACAACAAGAGATTTATTGGAATATTTCCATTAAACTCATTCATTCAGTGCTAATACCACCAACATATCTTTCACTTATCTTAGGCATTTTTAGATTTTTAACCATTAACTATAACTGCCAAATTTATAAGAATAAAAATATCAGATGATTTTGGAAAAAATTCAAGGTATCTGAGGATTTCTTATAACATTAATCCTACACTTATGAATGAATATAAGTGCAAAATTTCTTGAAATAAGTTTCAAATATATGTTACGAAATAGGTTTTAACCTGGCCTTATGGTTACAGAGAGATTTACTAACTCTACAGTAACCAATCCATATTAGATGACTGGAATACAGTATGATATACGTATATAGATTAATCCATAACATTAAAATTTATGTATAATTGATATAACATTAGTTTGAAGCATGTAATTAAAAAAAAAAAACTTTACAAACATACTTCATTTGCCCCACTAAAGAGAGGCTCCCCTGTGTGCATTTCCACTAGGATGCAACCTAGACTCCACATGTCAATAGCCATATCATAAGTTAATCCAAGAAGAACTTCAGGAGAGCGATAAAATCGGCTTTGGATATACTGATAAATCTAAAAATTAAAAATTATATAATATTGATTAGTTCATTTGTTATCCACTAAAATAATTTTAAACAATGAAAGTAGAAACAGTAGTATGTCAAGCAATTAGGTCACACACAAATTTTTTTTTATTACATTTCATGGAAACATTTTCAAAGAAACCATCAGTGATTGCAGTTCAATAAAGGAATATTGCATTTACATTCCTTAGAGTACAGAATATACAATATAGCAGATTTAAAATAATTCTGAATTAATTGAAAAATCTTTAGATTAAAGGTAGAAGCACTGCTTCTATGTGTTACTTTTTTACACATTTCTTTAAATGAAAATCAAGGACTTTAAAATGCCACCAACAGAACAAATTAAGGATGTATCACCAAACAGAATTGAATAAACTAAAGCAATTAGCAACACAACCACTTTCACTTTTGCAACACTATTTTAAAGTTTTCAAATGAACATTTATAAATATAATTTGAGATTCATTTTTCACCTAGAATAATTGCACATATTTCAAAGATTAACATGGTCACTATTACAAAATTCCTTTATTTTTTATATAAATATTTGTTAAAGCATTATTAAAATCAAAACCTAACGGAATTTTGCAATTTAAAGTAACACGTGATTATGCATATCATTTATAATGTTGGACTAAGTATATTACAGCAATTATTAAATATAAAAGGACATAAAAATCCATAATGCTACAAAAAATATTTTCTTATTATTATGGCCTATTTTTTTCCAAAGTGCAGGAACTCTACTCAGAACTTTTTGTAAAGCATCATTAAATAACTGGAGTTCTAACCACAGTCTTTTTAGCCTACCTATCACAAGAACAGCATGAGAAAAATACTGCTTTGGCACAATCCATTAAGAGGTGATGTTTAAACAAGGCCTTTTAATAATAATGATGTGTCATATATACAAAATAGCTTTTTTCTGAAAATTCTCCAAACAATAAGAGACGCTCATCAGAACCATTTTGCAAAACATTCCTATTCTGTGTTAACCGCTTCCCTTACAAATTTTTTTGAAAAAAATTGCAAAAAATCATCACATTTTTTTTTATTTTATTATTAAATACACCAAAACGAAACAAATCAAGACTATGTAGGTTTTTTTAGGTGAAATTTTACTTTTTTTGAAGGTGTAAAAGCATAATTTATTTCTAAATTAGTGTACTATCCCAAGTTATCTCGGGCAAACGGCGCAACGAAAAAAAAGTTTAAATAGTTAATCTTTTGATGATAGTTTTGAACAGGCGACCGCACAGAGTAGGTACCTGACGCTCTAGCTTTCTAGACTGGATGGTCTCTTTTCTTACTGGCTTACTGCTGGAATCTCTTTCACAGGAACGCAGAGTACACTGACCCGTTGGATTTGATTTTTTTCCCAACCTTTTCAAAATCACTATCTGAAAAATCGTCGCTTTCGCTATCTTCCATCATCGTCATTATTTTATTTTTTTCCAACGCATGCATCTGTCTTTATACATTACTAATCCACAAGCCAACCTATATTATACAATAGGGAAACACGCGACCAGTCCCTCCAAAAGAACCGCGCAACCAACTAAATTTGGCAAACTGCCAATCAATTAGCATTACAAACCTCCATTTTCTCCCCTCCATTTAACTCCAAACCCCCCCCACCCGCCCCCTCCCCCCGAGCTCCGCAAACGTTCTTATGCCATAACACGAAAATATGTATCCTAACACATTGCTTCGTGCCCGCCGCTTTTCCCCCCTACCACCCGGCCATAAGACTTAACTGCAGCTGCCTACATCCCTAGACCGAACCCCCAGTACTAACCAGGGACTCTCAGGAAAGCGGTCTTAATCTTTTGTACCTTTACAACCCTCTGATTCACCAGGACCCTTTTCTAGTCTTTACGCCTCTCAAGCGTATTTTCGCCCCTATCCTATTATTGCGCACCCTCCCTATGTCCATAACTTTAAGCACGCTCAGCAAGGACCAGATGCAGACGAAAACCTCCAACCCACATACCCCCTAGATCTCGTATCGGCACTACCACCACCCTCACCGTAACCACAACCCACCACCCTCCGTCCCACCCCCCCCCCGTACGCCCACCCCCCCACCCCCACCGACACCATCCTAAAACTCTGCAGCCACACATCCACTACCCCCCCCCCAACCATTCTTACACTTAAAAACCAGAGCCCTAATAATCAAGGAAAAACCCCCCAGGCACTCACCACACCCTTCCCACAAGACCAAACACAATAATACATCTCCTATCGCGATATCATCCTTGTAGGGCCCCTTAAATCCATTTATAATATTTATTACCTTATTTAAATTTCAGAATGAAGATATCATAGAATCGACAAAAACACAATACACAGAATTAAAAATATTTTAACATTCCCCCCTAAAATTTGCAATATTAATATACTTAGTTTAAAACTGTGATAATGTTACTATATTTGTTGAAAAATCTTCATGTAATTAAAAAAAATATGGAATCAACATTTCTGTAGCCATGTTGATCCAAACATTGGTAAAATGCTGATAAGTTGTAAACTTGAGAATGTGCACAGCAGAATTCACATTGTAGAAAGAGAAAGTGGTTGTTTTGGGTGTAATAAAGAGAACAAATTTAAGAAGTAATATGAATGTCTGCCAAGTGTTGCACACTTTAAAAACAAATCTGGTGACAAATCAGCAAACTGGCATAATTTCAATGCCTCTGCAAGAAATTGCAAAAATTGTTAAAAAAATATATTTTCACATAAGATTTTCAGACTTAAACAAACTTATAAAAAGCTTATAAAGCTTACCAGAACCTACACTCAAGAAAATTGCCACAACAATCACTATCCTTAACCTTTTTTTATTCCCTTCATTTATCTATTTTATTTGATTGATCATTTCTACTTCAACTTCATTGTTCCTAATGGCACCGGAGAAGGGATAGTTGAACTCTTCACATATATATGTGGCCCTGCTCAGTTTCTTTCAGAATACCTGCCATTTCTTTAGTATCATACCCCTAATTTATGGTCTTTCTCCATATCTTGAAGAATTTTAGATTCAATGATGCAATGGGTAGCACCATGACTTTTAAGAAGTTTGACTTCTTTGAAAGTCACGTTTTTGGGCACTCTATGTCAAAACATGGCTAAATTCCTAGGTTGAAGTTGAAAAACTTTTCATGCAGAGAAAGAGTATTCTTGTTTCAGAAGACTGGATTAATAACCAGTCTGGCACCTTGAAATTTTCCCGAATGATGGCTTCTTATTGTTTATAACATTAACTTGTGATTACTTTGTCACAAGCCACAAGCTTTAATTCTATAATCATATATAATGCTAATTCACATTTGTAATGGCAGCGACAGAAATGAGAAAATTTATGGATTATTTACAAATTTTGGCTACAGTTAAAAATGTTTAAAAGGCAAAAATTGTTTCCAAAAAATTAAAAGATTTAAGGACTATACATGCCCTGTTCTTCATGAAAAACAAAAAGCAAATGAATATAATGGTGGGAAAATCAGTATTTTTTAGATCAATGTTGTATAACATGAATAAAAGGCATTTTAACACTTGTTTAATTTCATAATAATAACAATAATGAACTGGTAATAAACTTTTTAAAGCTGTGCTTCAGAAATAAGAATGCATGATTAAAAATCATTTTGGCATTTTATTTTCCAATAACATAAATTCTCTTAAATATATTTTTACTTTTATTCCTTATAAATTCAAAGCTCTTATATCACAAAAAAGAATAATTATTGACATGATAATATTTATATTTTAAAATTTCACTAATTTCAGTGCATGCATTACTGAGACACAACATTTTCGAAATGTTTTCCATTATATTAACTGATCCATGTGTTTCCAAGGTGGTATATACAACTGAGAACAATCCTTGATGTACACAACATAAAGCAAAAGATTTTATTTTTGGATGTTCAGACCTTTATCCAATTAAAAAAAAATCTTAATGAGTAATTAGAAAGACTTACTCTCTGACCAAGCTGGCATGAGCTACCGAAGTCAACAATTTTAATTGCACTTCTTTTTGGATTACAAAGAAGTATATTTTCGGGCTTTAGATCACAGTGTATAATGTTGAGATCAGCATTAGATAAGAACATCAGGGCTGTACACATCTGTTGTGCAAACTTCCGAGTCAAATTGAGAGACACACCACGGAAATTAGTATTTCGCAGCAGATCGTATAAATTATATGACAGCAACTCAAACACCAAGCACAGATGATTTCTCCACATAAAATGGCCTTTTAATTTCACTAAAGTAAATAAATAAGTAGAAATTAAGTTCTAAAATTTTTAAAATTTAAGGTCTATCAAATATTTATTAACACACAAAAACCATCTCAGATATTTACAGCATAATTTATCATAAAATAATATTAAGTCTAACAGCAGTGCTTACAAATAAAACTGTTCAGACCTAGAAATGTAGATAATTAACACAATTTAAATGGACATTTACTGATTGAGGCAGAAAAGCAGTTATACTTGCAATGAGATAAAAAACTTGATGAAGAATATAAATCATAATAAACATAAAGTTACAGATTAATGATTGAATGAAGAAATTTCAATTAAAAATAGAGAAAATTAATAATAAGCCATATTTATTATATTCGCTTGGCATCTAAAAATAATATGCAATCATTTTTCACTCATATTAATATTTAAAATAAATTTAACTTAAATCACAATTCTGAACCATTTCTAAATTTGCACAAACAGTTTTCCTAACAGATATTGCAAAGCAAGTAATGTAAGTAAAAATATTAAAAAAAAAAAAAAAAAAAAAAAAAAAAAAAGGGATTTTCTGAATAGAAGACGGGAAATTGCTTCCCTGCAATCATCCTTAACAGTAAAAACTACTAACCGGCATAATAAGAAAACTGCTAAAATCTGAAAATTCAGGAATAGTCTAGCGTAATTGGTAAAAGTGGAAGGGGGTAGATTGCAGCCGTTCTTTAAATTTTTCAGCTAAATAATGCTTTTGACATTTCGATATGTGCATCATACAAAAAATAGCCCAATGGAGCTGAAAATAATCTGCTTAGCCTTAAATCCACGTGCGCCTTAATTCCTTCGCACGTGATATTACGCAATCTGAATCAACAGATGCCAGTATTCGGAGAATAAATAACTAAATAAAGGAAACCGCCCCTTTGCTTTGTCCGGTTTTCACCGTCATGCGATCATGCGGCATATTTGTTATTCAGAAGGATATGTTGCGCTCTGTGTGATATCCCTGCCATACTCATTTTGATCAATAAAGAGATTTACCAATCTGGGGTGTTTTTCATTCTGATTTTGAACAGACTGTATTAAATTTCTGCAATAGAAACAGTCTTCGCTTGGGTTCGTAGACCGCAGAACTTTTAGTCCTATTCAATCCAGATTGGAAAGTGACTCAAAAAAAAGTCTGTTGCTTGCTTTGCTGTGAAGTGTAACGCTTTCAATATTCGAGATTTTGCGGAAAAGGGGAGAACCCCCGACTACGACTGATAATGCATGGAAAAAAAAAGAAGAACTATTTGGACTATTTTCGAATTACTTTCACTTATTATGCCATTCCGAAAATTATTCCTTAGAAAACTAATCCGTGTTAAAACACATTTACCCATTTTTGATACTTCAACAGTTACTGCAAATACATTATTATATTCACACATATGCTCATAATATAAGCATACTGATCATAATAAACGTGAATATGAACTGACCACGCGGAACGAGAATGTAAATTATTAAAATCTTGATAGAAATTCAAACATGTGTAGCATTGAGTCGGAGAAAAAAAGAAAAGGAGGAATGTACCAGAAAATTTTCTATCACTTTCCCAATTCTTTGACCAATACAACAACGTGCACACGTCTGTACTCGCACGCACCAAAGGTTACGTTAATGCAGAGTAAAGGGTGAAAAGCTATTTTTGGGAGTATGATTCACCATCTGACGTTCCATATAAGGAAGAAGAGTTGTTTAGTTTCGGCTTTGGTACAGTGAAAAAATGTGCGTTTGTTAAAAAAAAAAAGCACCAAATGCAAAAAATAAGCACTAAAAAAAAAAGTGCTTTAGATTAAAAGTAAGCATCTATAAGGGGTTTTATATTTTATTTTCAAATATAAGGACATATAAACACTTGTAAGGACCGCTATAAACCCTGTGATGAATTCATTCACTGCCTTCAACATTGAGGTTTGCCTGACAGTAAGCAACATTATTGGATAAGCCGAAAAAGAATCAGCCAAGATTTGTAATTTTTGCAGAACTAGTTTTGATGGTTTAAATACAGAATCAGCTGTCTAAGCACAAATGAACGAGATAAGATATGGTGATAAGATATAAGGTACTTCTCCTGCCTTCTTAGCATGCCTTCATAGTGGTCAGCATGCTGAGCACGCATTCCAGAGGTCCATGGTTCAATTCTCTGTGAGAGCATTGCTCATTTTTCATCTCTCCTGCTGTGAAATAACCTAATGTCTCTACAGTGGTGCCCGAACTAAAAGGGTGGTGGATGAGAACTCTCCACACCTAAGATTTGGCGAATGGGCACCTAAAAACCCCAGTTGCCCTTTAAAAGGGGGAGTATACAAGGTATTTCTCCTGCCTTCGTAGTGTAGTGGTCAGCATGCTGGGCGAGTATTCTAGAGGTCCTTAGTTCGATTCCCAGCGAGGGCTTTGCTCATAGGAGTTAAGCTACTAGCACTATTTATTGATAAAACAAGAAAACTAAGGCATAGTTTACTTAAAGGCTGAAGGTAAAGATGGATTGGAATATGGGTTGTTAACTTAAACAGTCCTCTGCAGGGCTTGTACACATTTCTGCACATGGAAATTAAGTACTTTTAAGGACCATTAATGAAAAAATGAAGACCTTCTCACATTGGAACTGATCATCGTTAAGAGGCTATATAAACTAACTTATTAACATTATTATTATACGTTGAGAATAAATAACTTTATGAAATTTATCAAATTAAATATTTTACACTTATAATAATTGGACTATTTGAAGAAGATAAGTGACATTGTTACGTTCTACTAAATGTTAGCTGTATTTTATTTTATTTTATGCTCATTTGTCACATACACACTCAGTCTAGAGGTTTCGTAATAGAAGCAGTTTTAGTCAGGGCTAGGTTAAATGAGAAGTAAGATCATATCGCATGATTCATAACCAAGACTGGCGCTGCACCATGCCTAGGAAACCTACTGATCAGACAAACCTGAAGGCCTGTGTAGGCATGGTTGACATTTCTGAGGTTGCATCTGACACAAAGAGTGTCGCTCGTGTAAGTTCCGGTGTTGGACTCAGATAATATACTTTACAGTTTTAATAAGCCAATAAAACACCAGAGGTGATAAGGTTTTTTTTTTTTTTTTCCTTTTCATTATTTTAAGTTTCACTAGATGCGAAGAATAAGTTTTACATGAATTTTTACATTTTCGTGTTTTATCTTGTGACCACGGCAATGGTTAATGAAAGACAATAACTCGCTTCAACATGCAGAGATAATTTTTAAGGGTAAGCAGTTAGTTATAAATAATGAAATTAGGTATTAGATAACCATTATGGATTTACATGGCAACTATTAAATTTTATTTATTTTTTTAACAGTATTTGTTAAAAAAGCCCCATTAAAATAACAATCTAATGAAATTTCACAGTTTAAAATACATGTAATTTATGACATTGATTCTAAAACGATATTAGGATAATTACACATTAAAAGCTAAACAACACTCAACAAAATATTTATGAGACTTTAATTTGAAGCCTTCCCAGATATTCCTTCTCTTTAAGCATCTTTTCTAACAATTAGAAATTTGTCTCAATATGCCAAAGAATTTAACTAGTTCTATTTAACTAGTTTCTGCATGTTTTATCTCCTAACCTGAACTAACCTATGAGGGTTTATTTGATCTGGTAAAAGTTAAATAGTCCAAAACCCCTACCCGGATGTGAAGCAAATTATCGTTATGTCTAAAAGTAACTACAAAGTCTAAAGTTTAAATAAGCTTCTCACTTAAAAAGTACTTAGAACATAGAGGCATGTTCTTATGCTAAAAAATTAATTACAGCTCCTGGTGATGTAATTAAACAAGAGTGAAATTCAAACTAAAAATATCAAGTACATAACTTATTTTAATTTTAAGCTGGCTCAGTAACTCTATTGTCATAACAAACGCAAATGTCGGCAGCGGTAATGCAAAGACAAATAATTACAAATTATCAGAGCTGCAGGAACTAATGCAGGAGGTCAGAAACACCAAAAAACCTCAGTTAAAAACTGTCTAAGTGATTTGCATTCTGGTGAGGAAATAGAAGTTGGAAACTATAGTAAAGGCTGAAACTGTAACCAGCTAGGTAATTTACATAATAATATCTGTACATATATTTGAAGAATAATTTTTTTTTTCTCTTTATGTATTAAGTTTCTTTCTTCCACGTTTTCTTTTCTTTTAGAATTTTAGAGTTAATTAATGATTTGTGTTACTCTAAATAAACTAAATGCATTTAGAATGTATTTATTTCTTTAGTAATATGAACATTCAGAATAAATATCAAATATATATGATAAGGTCTGGTTACAGAGCTGATACTGCATAATTTTTAGAATTTAGAACAGGCACTGAAAGCAGAATTTAGAAAGGTACCAGGCAGCAGAATTTAAGATCCACAGAGACTGCATCAGGTGGGAAAATGCCTAGTGCCAGCCATGTGTATGCATTAAGACATACTAGATGAATCTTTTAAATTGTTCTTTATTAGTAAAAAAATTTTTTTTCTATAATGCATGTCCATATGATAAGATTAGAAGCATTTTTGATATTTCCCATGCTAGTGTCTAGTGAAAAGTAAAGAAAATAAAAGGAAGATACAAATGTTAAAAATATTCTAGTATCAAAAGTAAAACATTCAACTAAAATGCTTTCATTTTTCTTCCAGACGTTCTCCAAAAAGTAAGAAATTACGTGTTAACATGGAGACATTTTTCTGAAACCTTCTAGAATCGTAAGTCTATAAATCTTGCCTGCTTTCGAAGCTGCAATATCTAAAATCCTAAAGAAAAATTACCCCTACAAATTCTGTAACACCATAAAGCCAGAAATATTTTGGGAAGAAAAAGTGTAAAATTAATTTTATAAAGAAAACCAGGGCTTAAATTCTAAAATTAGATGTGCGGAGCCCTGCGGAACACCATCAGGAAAGAGGAACAAAAATAAATAAATAAAATGACTAATAAAATAATTCATA